TTTCTGGAGAATAAAAAGATTTGATTGATTGATTGAAATGCACGTCCGAAAGCCAGGAGCGCGGGCTAGCTCGGGCTTGTAGCTTTGGCTGCAGTCTGAGCTTAAGGGTGAGCAGAGTATAACCCTTGTTAGGGTGCCTCAATGTCCTTCTGTTTAGGGTGATGCCACCCATTGCAGTACCTGATGCCGACAGCACGCGTTCACGAGAAAAATACAAAGAAATCGACGAAAAAAAATTGACCGCCTCTCCACGTGGTGAATGTTGTTGATTGAGGCGAAGCTCTGGTGGTGCTGATACACTGAGCCGCAGCATGCCGAGCTTTTCGTTTGTTTTCATCCATGTCAGAAAGAGAATGTGTGGTATGGAACGTGGTTATATACGCATTTGAGCATTTGACCGCAGCGCGCTCTCGCCTATAAACGTTGAGCCAATGCATGAAACGTTTAACGCGATTATATACGCATTTGACCGCAGCGCCCTCTCCTGTATAGACATTGAGCGGCTACATGCAACGTTTCATCCATGACAGAAACCCCAGCTCTTGAGTTACTACCACATCTCAAAGCCCCCTTCTCGTCCCGCAGTCGTGGCCGTTGCAATAAAGAAATAAATAAAAAAAAAAAACCGCAGTCGCGGCTGAGTGGTTAAGACGATGGACTAGAAATCCATTGGGGTCTCCCCGCACAGGTTCGAATCCTGTCGACTACGCAAACATTTTTTCCTTTTTTCATCACTTTTTTTTTCTACACGAGCACGTGAGCTCACGAGCACGAGCACGAGCACCAGCACGATCGATGTGAGGACGGACGCCGGACGGACAAGGTTAAACCCTAAGGAGCTTCGCCCCTAAAACAAAATGTCGCCATAGTACTGTCAGCACGACAAACGCGTGCAAGGACACGTTCTTTCACGCTCTTCTGAACAAAAAAAAAAAAAAAAATAAACGCGTGGGACAAAATGGCGAGATGCCACCTCCCCAAGCAAAGCGCACATGAAGGCATTTTAACCCTTGTCTTAATCGAAGGTTATAAAAGTGATTTTTCTGATATTTTTAACAGAAAAATGACTACTATCGGAGCTCCGAAATACTTGGAGTTGAATGGCACCAGTTACCGCGAAGCAGGCGAAAACTGTCCCCAATTTTCTGTTAAATTTAGTTTTAGAAAATCACTTTTAACTTAATATGTTTTGAATAAAATAACGGTTAGTTCCGAAACCTTCGCATCTGGTTCGAAACTGCTAGCGCTACATATGGGCGGAGAATGATCGTCATGCGATGCGCAGTTTATCTTAAAGGTAAAGACAAGTTGCGTTTTTTTTTTTTACCTTTTGCATTTTAAATTTTTTTGTTGGACGGAAAGCGGGGGGAGACACACGCTGTACATTACCGGAACAGGCGTGTAATGTTAACGTAATTTGAGTCCCCGATGGGTTAACAAACGCAAAGCGCGTCAAATCCCAAGTACCTTATCATCGTTCTGCAGCCACTTCTATAGCAGAATTCGACGATAAGAAGACGGTAGAACCCATCAGCGAGCGAGAAACGTGACCACGACCCTGCCTTTCTTAAAGGGGTACTGCAAAGGGACGGAGAAAAGCAAAATACTGCTTCGAAGGGCGTGTCCACCAGTGTCAAACACGAGAGTTCAGTGGCAACATTGGTCTAGCCTCTAGAACGTCAGATAATGACGACGTAGTATTCTACAGGTAGGACTGGCTGAACGGCTGCACATGACTTATTTTTATCCTTTCAAGCGTGTGATTCTTGTTCAAATTTTTGCTTTGAACATTTGTAAATTGGTGGGGCGTTCACATCTTCATAACTGGATGTTAATTCCAACAATTAGGAAGATCGCGCATGGTCATTACAGGCTTTTCGTCGTTTCGGTTCTCTATTGGTTCAGACGTATGACGTCATCAACAATAGCAAATCTGCGCAAAAAGTTGAACTTATTTCGCCTGTTATGTTCAAATACATAAAAGTGTTTCTTTAATATATTTTAATGTGTTGTTAGAGTCCCACACACTCACTCGAGCGAACGCGATGCAAATCAAAAAAAGAAAAATGTCCAGAAACGCTTTGCCGTGTCCCTTTAAAAGGGCGGTGCAACGGCATGCAATTGGAATGTTTTTCACTTTACACGAACTTCCCGGCACTAGTGGGACTCAAGGATACTTGCACGCAACGCCACAGGCCCAGAAACTCTTTTGTTGCGGTGTAATTTCAAGGACAAAATCGAGCGTTTTAATTCAATCTCTCCTTCGCAAAACTCTATGACGTAATTGGGGGATCGCAGTATTCCCCAGTGACGACATTTTAATGCATATCATAGATTGGATCCGAGCATTGCGTGCGCACTCGATATATGAGCTCGTGATAGTCGACTGCTCGACAAGCATTCGGGTAGTGGCCCGTGGCCAATCGCTGCGAGGACGACAATAGCCGAACCATAACAATGTCTAGAACTCAGCGCGTGTCCTGTGTGTTTGCCAACCCCAGCAAGTGGCTATGATCAGCATTTGCAGCATATAACCGGCTCCAGATCAGGTGGCCGCTTGTTCTGGCAGCGAGTTGAGGGGTTGAACGCTGCTCGTTTTTCTTTAATTTTTTTTCTGCGACATCGATTGCGTGAGGTGAAAAACGAACGCGTGTTTTATAAGTCATTAACGTCAGGAGTCTGTTCTAAGCGGTATTTGCGCAAATGAGAAAAATCGTTACATCGCCCCTTTAAGGTATATTTCACCCTAAATCCTGAAACCATGGAAGAAGAAATAAGGCGCAGAAGAGAGGAGGACCCACACGTACAGAGTCAAAGCTAAGATTGTTATCCACCACCAAGCTCCTTTTATAGGTGCAAGACTCCCAGATAACATCCAAAAATCTATCACGAGGTCAGTCTTTTTTTTTTTTACTTTTTCAACGACAGGGTGACAAAAGCAAGGCCTGCCTTTGATAACCTATAGAGTACACGTGGTAAGACGTGTATGTTGTCCCCCTTTTGTTGGAGTATACGGAAAGACTGATCTCGCGATGGGATTTTCTGACGTTGGCTGAGTTTTGTTGTACCTATAAAAGGAGATTGGTACTCTATTAAACTCTTAGTAGCCTCAGAGACGGTGTTTATTTGTGTGTATGTGCGTGTGCGTCTGTGTGTGGGGGGGGACGCGTGTGTGTATGTATGTGTTTGTGTGTGCGTGCGTGCGAGCGTGTGCGCGTATGTCCCTGTGTGTGTGTATATATACGTGTGTGTCGTGTGCGTATAAGCACGCTCGGGTGTGTATGTGTGCGTCTGTGTGACGTGACTTACACACAGATTCAGTTTCCCCCCTGTGTCTGGCGGGGAAATTGACGTGACGTGGCCTGACATCATGGGACCTATATATCAATTCAGTTTCGCCGCTAAATTTAGCGCAGAAATTGAAGTATCATGACCTAAACACAAATTCAATTTGTGTTTAGAGTAAAATTGTGCGTCAATTTGTGAACTAAATTGATCAAATATTGGTTCTTCACTCCCGAAGCGACTGTTTAATGTCTTTCAAACAATAGACATTTTGCTAAATTACCTAAAAAACAAGGAGCATGCTGCCAGGAATGAAAGTGGCATTTGACGTTTTGGAGTTGGTTCTGTGGCAGGCAATACATTCGTTTGCAGCAGCCATTGACGCTTTTAGAACAGATGCCAACGTCTGTTAGATATCGCTTGAAAGAAAAAAATACTGCATCGCTAAATGGGTTTATATTTGATAAAAACAGAGGGTCTCTCTTTGATACTGGAGCGTATTGCTTGGCACCTTTCGTAATAAGAACAAAGAGGGCGCAAATCATACTTCAGTTAGGATGAAGCCTCCATCCCCTCCCACTTGTAGACCAGTTAGTTTATTTAGCCTGTAAATATATATATATATATATATATATATATATATAACTGCAAAAACAACCACCCACAAATATTATTAAAACCTACTTTTGCACTTTAAAAGGGAAACTGCTATTTAGCGGCGTTTGAACCAGAGTGAAGTGAAAGTTTGCTGCTCTTTCGACTGACAGCTGCACGGGAACTACGTTTATTCAAACAAAGCACCGCGTATTTTGTTTTCTTTCTCAACGCAGCAGTTGAAAACGAGATCACATAATCGAACCCAACGAATGCGGACCTGTAATATTACTGAGCGTAATGTACATGTATATCGTACCAAACCAGACGCTCACCCATGTCAGCTGCTAGTCCTAGCACTCCGGTGCAAGGCGGTGAAGCTCGACGCACGTGGGCTGGTGAGACGCGCCACGGAGGCATGCGTCATTCATAATATTCGAGTGATCACACCAGGAGTACAAGATCCTGCGTCTGTCTTGTCGCAGTAGCCGCCATTTTAATATTTTGCAATGTTTTCTCGCTACTTTTAGCTCCTGACATCGCCGACATCGTCTGAAACTTTAGAGGATGTCGGCGATCAAGCCGACAACGCGTCAACCGGCCATCAGGGTGGACGAGAAATGTTGCAACTTCCTTTCACCTTAATTTAAAGCCAAGCCGGCGCTACGAGCCAATGGGGTCGACCAAAGAACGTCAAAGCGCGACATCGAGGCCTCCGACAACCTTCCTGTACGAATTGTTTCATCCATTAAACCAATCAAATGCAGCGAATGTCCTGTGACTTCCGCTTTTACTATGTGTGTTCGTGTTGTATGTGGGGTTGTGGGGATATTTATACAGCGTGTAGTTGGTCAGCCATTAAAGTTGCGACGAGTCACACGCTGTAGATGAGCGATTTAGCCAGTGCAGTACAACCGATAGCCTGGGGTCTTTAACGCGCACCACGCAGTAGTGGTACACGACCGCACGCCGGTACGATGCTCATCCTGATCGAAACGGGCAGGGGTGAGGCTCGAACCCAGGATTCCTGGGTTCTGCAGCGCGAGCTTTCGCTCTACGCGCGTCGAGCTGGGTGTGCGCTTTAGCCCATTCGGCCACCGATCACTGAAAAAAAAAGAAAAAAAAAGTGGGCCGACCTCGGAGGCAGTGCAATGCCGAGCCAGCCCGTGGCATAGGTGAGGTAAACCTCAAGCACTACGCCGCATTCCAAAAATAAGATTAATATCTTGGGTCCAAATAGGACCCGTATCGGCGTCCTATTTGGCCTTCGACTGTGTTCTGACATAAGATGAAACCACCTAAACGATGAGTAAAGACGCTGTGAAATACAGACTTCTACCGCTTTCCTTTCCTCCTACGTCTCTGAATATTAGGGTCAACCAAGAATGAAATATATATATATATATATTTTTTTTTTGTTTTGCCCATCTCGGCGCATGCGTGGCGCAATGCTTAGCCAAGATGGAACTTTGGCGTAAGATGTAGCCGACTTTCGCTCATGGCACAATGTGGCGCAAATGGCGCAAAACTACACTCGCAGCAGCTGCGAGTGTAATTACACGCGCTGCCCGTGCTGACGTCTGCAGCAGCAGTAAGTGCTCTAAAGCAAAAGCCTAAAACAAACAACATTTTGCACTTCGCGTTCATCAACACTTTATTTTGGTTACTTACTTTGAATCTTTTATGCGGGAAAGGCGAGTGCGTGCGGAGCCTGTACTTACATTCCCAGCATTCTCCTTGATGCCTGGGTAATATAGAAATAGGCCGATATTTAAACCGTTCATTGCTACTAAATACTGATTTTTAGGCATGATATGACTTTGAAGGGAAAGATCGTTGCCAATTCTTAGATTATAACTCCACAGGGAGGACTTAATTTGGAATGTATAACTACAAGTTTCCTTCTTAAACCTTGGAACTTTTCCATTGCGTCATCTTCTGTTTTGTCTAGCGTTTGTCGAGTGGAACAGTCGTACCGGATGTTCTTAAATAAGGACGTGCTACAAAAAAGAAGTTTACTTTGGCTTGAATCTTCACCATCGAACTACACTGGTGGCCGCCATACCTTGCGCATCGCTTTCTGACAGAAGCCTGTGATTGGACGCCGAGTTCACGCCGAACGATATCGCAGCCCTCGTGTCCAATGAATGCTCAAAGCGCATGCCCGAAATGGGGCGGCCTCGGAGAAGCCACTGAAGAGCGCATATTTTTTTAAAACAAAACGTAAACATAATCTTTCCTTAAATAGAGTGTGTCTTTTTGGATTAGATTAGCGACAAATACGGAGTGAAGCGAGCGATGAAAATTTCAAGGTTTTTCTGCGCTTCGTTGCCTGGTCCCCCTTTTTCTTTCTATTTGTGTGCTCCCTTGCCTCGAGGTTTATAAGCAGAAGTGTAAATATGAAGGCCGCAAAGTGTAAGAAGTAAACAGCAGACATTCCATGTCGCTAAGGGTTTGCATATTGTGAAACTTGCATTTCTCATGAAAAAAAGAAAGAAAGAAAAAGAAGCCATATCGGAAATCATTTTTGTTTCTCAAGTAAATCTATGTTTTAGTGTAAAATGTTTAGAAGACTAAATACTGTTTGCATTTTCTCAGTAAAATTTCATAAAGACTACCTCCAAGTGCTAGAGCTAAATTTGTTCAAAGAAAGCAAGGTTTAAAAAATAAAGCACTCAGGCGTGGTATTTGTTGAGAATATTTTGTGAAAAGTAATAATAAATAAGAGGTTCTTCAATTACAGATTTCTCTCCCAACTTTGTTTCTCGTGTTCCCCGTTCGACGTCTCGAAATTCAAACGTCTGTAAAATCAGGAATAAGCGGATTTTCACGTCGCTGCCGTCAAAATGTTCTTCATTACAGGCATTACATATTCGTTTTTCGGTTTATCGCTTGCGTTGTTTTTTTTCTGTTTTTTTTTTTATATTGTTGTTGTTTGTTTCTTGCTTCACACGCTTTTCCTCCTCCTGCCTCTCAAGTTTCGGATTATGTTTGGCACTCGTTATTTTTTAAAATAAATATCAAATTCCTCATCTGCTTATGTGTCACACGTATAAGGAGTTTGTCTGTACATTTATTAGAGAGAGAGAACGAGATAATATAAAGTAGTACTGTGAAGTTTTGACAAGTTTGTTATATCTTGTGTAAATTCTCCTCGTGCTGTAGTTTCCTGGATTGATATACGGGCGTTCTTCAATGTTTATGTGTCTGGAGCATTTGACACTCTAGCTGTCATTTTTTCTCTAGACGCTGCGTTCATATTCATTTCCGTTTGAATAAGCGTACTTCCGGCGTGCCATTGTGCGACCGCGTGATCCACGTCAAAGAATGCAGGCTAGCGATCGTACTAAATTGACTCAATTTATCATAAACAACGTGAAGTATTATCACCAAATTACAAAGGTAGATTGATCGCGCTGTTTAAATGCTTCCCTTTAATTTTATCTTCGTTTTCTTAATCTCTAGTCTTACGCAATTCAGTTTCACCGTCTCCGCTTGCATAATCCCTAATCTTCCTTCATCCCCCTTTCCACCTCCTTGCTCTTTCCCTTTTGTTCGATCCGAGCGGTGCTCAAGCCGAGCGCGCTTTGCGATCCCCTAATGTTGCTTTCGAGCGCAACGAGATGGCGCAGCGGCGATCTGCCCGGTAGTGACGTCAGGGCACCTCGCGAGCCGCGACGGTTCGTTTCCGCACCCCGATCTCCGGGCCCGTCGTCCGCAAACTGCTCACTCGAGAGTCGGCCGTGCTCCGGGGAGCACGTCTTCGCCGCATTGTCCGCGATGCCGCACGGCGGCGGCAATAGCGGCGGCGTCGACGTCGGCCGCAACGCCGACTGTGTGAACGCGACGTGGGTCGCGGCCGCCGCGACCGACGAGGACGTCGACGATTCGGGTTTTCCGTACCCGGACCTTACCCAGCTTCCGGGAGTGTGTCCGGCGTTCGTGTGCCTCTACTTGGCTGTCATGGTGCTGTCACTGGTCGGGAACGCCATGGTGTGTTTCACGGTGCTGTCCGACCGAAAGATGCACACGGCCGTGAACTACTACATGGTGAACCTGGCTGCGTGCGACCTCGCCGTGGGGGCTTTCGTACTGCCCGTCAAGTTGATGGAGCTTGCCGGTCCGGCGTCTTGGTCGCTCATGACGGACTGGCTGTGCACCGCGCTGCTCTACTCCCAGACGGTCGTCGTGTTCGCGTCAGTGCTCACGCTCGTCGCCACATGCCTCGAAAGGTAAGTCGCTTTTCTACTTTTTTTTTTCGAAATTGCACTTGCAGCCTTGTTGTTGTGTCTTTGAAGTTAGGCCATCGAGCTTTTAGTATTGTCCCTGTAACTCCGAAGCTGATTTGTTGAGCTTTGAGCATTGTTCTCGAAACTCTGAAGCTGAACCATCAAGCTTTTAGCCTTTTCTTTAAAACTCTGAACCTGGACCGTCGGGTTCATAGCGTTGCTCACGTAACTCTGAATATTAGACGTCGAGATTTTAGCCATGTCATCATAATTCCGCAGCTGAACCACCGAGCTTTTAACCTTGTCCTTACAACTCCAAAGCTGAGCCGTTGAACCCTTAGCCTTGTCCTTGTGATTCTGAAGCTGAACCATCGAGCTTTAAGCCTTGTCTTTATGAGTCTAAAGCTAAACCGTCAAGCCCTTATCCCTGTCCTTGAATCTTTAAAGTTTAAGCGTCCAGCGTTCGCTCGGAGGTTTGTTTGTGTGTGTTGTTAGCTCAGAGCACTCCATTACGTGCCTCTGCTTCTGTACCTGAATTTGATTGCATTGGTTCCGTAACCAGTTTAACGGCAGGGCTTGCGCGTGCTCTGACAACTACGAACATTTCTTCTTAACGTACGGAACCGCTTGTATGTTTACCTATATTGTCTCTGCAGATTTTATTTAATTGGTTTTAAACCTCAGAAGAACTATTGATTTTTTTTGTATCTTAATGTCTTTGATCTTTATACATGATTTTTATTTGACACACACGCGCACAAACAAATCTAAATGTCGCTACACTTCTGCAATAAGGAGACCAAGTTGTCTGTTACTTGCGCTGAAATTACGGTGACATCAGTACGCCGACTTCTGATTGGCTCTGATTGAAGGATAGTGGGTAGACCTCAAGTCAGCTTTGTCCTCTACCCACTATCCTTCAATGAGAGCCAGTGAGAGCTCGGCATCTTTCTGATGTCACCAAAACCCCTGGAAAAGAAGCTGACGGACGTGCGCTCCGCTGAGCGCCTAAAAAGATGTCACTGCATGAAATCTGGATAATACGACATCACACCTTATGATGCCATGAACAACGTGCGTAAAAATGCCTTTTTCTTTCGCCTCAAGTCGCTGGAGTACAGTTTTACTGTCATGATCTCTATGAAAACCCAAGGGTCCTATTTCGTTTATGGCAACGGGTCGTAACATTTCCTCGACTTCTAGTAAACGCGAGACACAGCAAAAGAAAGAAAAAAAGAAAAAGACGGCAACTAGAAAACGTGTGATGGGTTCGCGGTACAGAGGAAGCCTACAAGGAAGCGTGTGGGTTTCGCAAATTGATCGACCAACTTGATATTTATTGTTTCCTTTTTTTTTACTCGACGATGGAGGATGATTTTTTTTATGATAGCCTTTGTATTCGGTGTTGCAAGTTAAAAGCTTGCACATTTTTTATTACGGCCATATTAACGCGTTCAATCCAAAGAACGGGCAATGAACCTGGTTTCATGACGAAATGTTTTATCCGCTTGATGTATACACTACGATACTTGCTCACGTCATTAGATGTCGTAATTAACGAATTACTTTTACTCTTGGTCACAAATGAGACAGGAACAAACTGTTATTTTCTGTTCTTTTCATTTTACAATACAATACAATATAACCCAATATTTATTTTGTGTGCTTACCAACAGCCGGTTGGCCTTTGCGGTAAAGCAAAATGTAAAACTTACATTTCCGTTACAAAAAATACATCCTTAATCAAACCGATTTTAAAATCACGCACATGTGTAAAACATATGGGGCAAAGTTGTGTTATTACTCTTCAAATTTACTTTTAATGAAATGTAATACTCGAGAGAGATCTAGTAAACAGGGTTAAGCAGTGAAAGCTGCAGGATAACAGTTTATCGTGAACAAACAATAAATAACCATAAAGTTATAAAACACTTTTGATAGAAAAAAAAACACTTTTGATGTATACCTTGTGACGATTACTGTTTTTATCCAGCTAAGTTTCGAGTAATTATTGTTTCAGTGAGATTAGCCTCGTTAATAATAGCTAAAGAAAGCGGGTCATTTTTGAAATTTATGAATTTTCGGGAA